AACCAATACTCTTCTCTTAAGTAGTAACTTTAAGTAGCAGTATACTTATTCCAATAATACTGACATGGATTATTAAGTAATGCTTCTGAAATTCTCAAAAACACTAATTTTATTAGTTGGACGTTTCTAAAACTGAACATCATAATCCAGTTTGATAGTCCAACTTGTTTATCAAACTCAACTCTGAATACAGTATTCGACATCTACAAAAAGAAAGAACCTGGCTATGGCTGAAGTTTAAAAAAAAAAAGCTGCACATTGTTTTTAACGACAAAAGAAAGCAGGCCCAATTCTTATCAGTAGTGAACTGGTTAAGTATGACACATTCATAGTCAATGCAGCTGTAAAGAGAAATAAGCTCTTTGCATACTTACATGGTGTTCTAAGATAAATTAAAAAGCAAAGTATAGGACAACATATATAATATGCTACCTCCTGGTTAGAAAAAGGGAGTGGGATAAAAATGTGTGTTGGCTTACCTAGGGTAGGAATGGGAATTGGGCAAATGTGGAACAAGAATGGAAGGGAAACTTTATTTTTACATTTTTTGTTTTTGAAATATGTGCATGTATTACATATTTTAAAAAGTTAGATGCTTCAGGTTCCGAAGACAATTTTTTTGTAAGAGAATCTTTAAACAAATTTGGAGCAATGACAAAATTGATGTTTGGCCTCCCAAGATCCAAGTAAGATTTTTGTTCATAATTTGTATCCTGTAACTTGTACCCCTTCCCCCAGCAATAAAAGTAATATAGGTTCATTGTGAAAGGTCTGCAAGAAATATATAAATTTTAATTTTTCTGACACTTTTCAGATTCTGCAGATACTTCTTTTATATTTTCCCCACCCAACAAAATAAATTTTATTTCCACCCAATAAAACTGTAATGTGGATTACATATATATAGTGGATATGTGTTCACTGTGCATGCAGCATTGGTGATGGGCTCTTCTGTTTCAGGTGAGGGTTTTCAATTAGTCCCCCCTCACAGAAGAAGGCAAGCAAGCCATTTCCCTCTCTACAGTGAATGAGTGGTTCACAGAAGGCCACACAGACCTAAGCTGGGTCTTCTTGGGCTTCATTGTTAAAATTAGCAAGGAAAACAGACCCTCTGGCCCTTAGGGTTATGATACAAGGAAGATGCTGCATTACATCCTGTGATATGATGTGATGGCATTCAAGCCAAAACAGTGAGGACAGCAGCCCAAGAGAGACAGAAACAGAAAAAGAACCAGTACCACTGTCTGAACCTTGAGTCCAGCTATATTTATACTTCTGGTGATGTGAGCCAATGAATGCTCTTTTTAGTTTAAGCTAGTCTGCCACATATCCCTGTTCCTTATACTCCAGAGTCCTGACGAATACAAAATATCTCATCAAATCAATGAATATTCTTTAGATGCATGGTCTGAAATGCTGAGATAACATTCCATTGCATGGATGTACCATAATTTACCTATCATTACCTTATTTCTATTAATAGTATTAATCTACTATCGATAATTTGGGTGGTATCCAATTATTTACAGTTAAATATGTTAAGTTTCTGTTAAAAGTCTCAATCGTACAATCAGATTTCACCTTCCTGAAAACTACATGCAGAATTTCAAACTGTGTGCAGCACAGGAAACACTGGCCCAGGACTGTAACAAGTATATTATTTGAATATCTATTCTTAAAGACCCCCAACATTTTGTTTGTCAAGCAGTAAGTTTTTGGGACAACAGTCTCAGAGGAAAATAACTTACAAATTCCAAGCTCCTTATACACACAATGAATGACAAGTGAGAGCCTTTATACTAAACACACAAATACTTAAAGCTATTTTTTTTGCCCTTATCCTATATTAATCTACCAATTCTTTTTCCAATGAGATATATTTTTTCACAACAATTCAAAATTTTCTTAAAAAATGGAAGTTAGTGCTTTTGAATTTGCTAAACCATGTCCTAACATGAGAAACTAATAAAGCTCAAGCCATCATTTGTCCAATCTTGTTAAAATAGTGACAAATAAGAGATTCTGTAAGATACCCTGTGTGGCTACAACTCATCTCTGCCCCTCCAAAAAAGTAGACAGAAAGGAAGTAAATTTTTAGGGCATTAAAATTGTTAAATATTAAGACAAGAAAATACTAGTAAACATTCAGTCACTAATTACAACTATAAGCTTGTATTTAATACAGTAAGGGTCACAACTTGGTAATACATTTAACCAAGTAGACTTATTCTACCTTGTGACAATTTTTTCCCTTATAAGACATTTAAATTCAAATATGCAATGCCCAACCTGTAAGAGGATCTACTGAAGAATAATTTTTGGTGTGAACTCAGTCTGCCTTAAATGCTTTTTAAAAATATTATTAGAAGTACTAAGCAACTTCATGCTAGAATGGCTGGACCATGGGATTACAATACAGTTAACTCATCAATGGCTTTATTAACTTAGTGCATGACACTACAGTTATTATTTAGTATTATTAAACCAGCAAATAATCAATCAATCTGCCATCTCTTACTTTCCCATTCACTGCTGCATAAATTCCTGTGTTTAGAAAATGCCTGCTTTTGCCTCTAGTAAAAATAAAAAAGATCTTAGAAGAGGTCAAGCATATTGAATTTCTTTTACATATGTTTATTCTTCTATTCTTTTTTTCATCAAGGTAGTTCTCTTTTTAGATCTTTAGCACAAATCATTACTTACTTTCTTGTATAAAACCAGTATAGTTTTTTTTTTAGTGGTATCCCACTACCTATTTCCATTAGATTCTGTCTAAAACATAAGGCAGAACAAAAAGAGATTCAGAATATTAAAATTATCAACAAACAACCTATAAAAGATATTGAATATATGTGTCAGAAACACTTACGGTTCTAGTTAACATTTGGACTAGACTGAGGTGACGGCAATTTTCGAACAAACAATACATCTTTAATAAAAAAGAAGTTTCCCTAAAAGAGCAAGTCACTTCCATTGACTATTTAAATCGTACCAAACAACAACAAAGACCAGTAATTAACTTTTAGAAAGTCTTTTCGCAACAAGCAAGCAAGCATGAAATGGCAACCAGGCCCCTTCACTTTTTTAAAAAAATAGAATGGTTTAAGGGAATTATAAGGAAGTAAAAAATAAATTACTTAATAGACTTGATGCCACCAAAAGAGTTTAACTATTTGTAAACAGAGCATAAAAGTTTTCACTACTTGACATCTGATTAGGGATCCAGAATGGTTATCTACGTAAGAGAGATATGCAGGAAAAATCACTTAACAAAAAACTGGAGGGAATTTTTCATTTACCTATGTATCAATGTAAAATCTTACTCTTCTTGGTTAAGAAATAACAAAAAGTTAAAACAACTATATATTCAACTTTATACTGTACATGCAGCGTTGGCCCTAACAGGCTGGAGAAACAGCCAAATTAAACAATACGTTTAATTAAAATTCTTGTAAAAATTGAGTACTTCACGGGACACTATGATTCTCATCGCCACTCCTACATTACCTTTTCAGTGATGATCTTCAAGTTAATCCTAGTGCTAAGCCATGTATTCGACAAACTATTGCTTTGGAAACATAAGCAGAAACATTTAAGAACACAAACTAAAAATGCAGATGCATTTAAAAGAAACACTTCGTATAGTTATAAAAATATCTGTAATATAAATAAACATTTAATAAATAAAAATGCTCAAGGTATCACAAGAAACACATTCTTAAAGAACCAAAGGCACTGCCTACAACTGGCTTGGTTTGCACAAACTAAAACAAGACAGAAATCCTAACTATTATCAAAACTTACATATCACTCTAAGAATTATCAAATACTATGTCTTTCAGGTAATGGCAAGATTTTCCTCCCTTTTGCAAATGTGCCTTCTTTAGAAATGGAAAGATTAATTCGAAAAGACTATACAAAAAGTTTTACACTAATTCAAAAAGATATTACTACTATCCCAAATCTCTGGCACTTAAAATACCAAAACGAGACAGACTTCCCTAAGCTTCTACTTCATAAATTTACGATAATGCAGCACCACCATAATACACAAGAAACACGCACAAAAACGCCTCAAAAGGCGGGGGGAAGCAAACTGATGCTAATTTTGGGTCCAAATAATTCCCACGTATATGTTTTTGAATAGCAACCCGAAATGTTACTGTATTTTTTTAAAATCTGTAAATCCGTTCATTAAACCTTGAATCTTTACAAATCACCATTCACCTACATCAATTCGTTTACTTGTACACTGCTGATATTTTTAACTCTGAATACTGGGAAATTTCCAAGTCAAGAAAAAAGCCACTTGGGGCCAATCCCTCTATTACCCTCTCACCCCGCGCCGAAACACACAAAAAGCAAAACGTCTCCAGCTTTTCTGTTTAAACAAAACAAGTAGTTCAACTACTTTTTTTCAGCTGCCCTTGCTCTGAATTCTCCACTACACGTTTACCTTAAACCAAAACGGACCCTGGACAAGACATATTAAGCTAGTTTCCCGACTCCCAAGTGGTGTTTCGCGGTTAGGCCTAGGAGCAGTAAGGCCCCCCAGTTCTCAGACCCTTCTGCTAACATTTCGCACCCACTCAGTTCAAATGTGAACAGGGGCCCGGAATGCTGAGCCCGAAGGGGGTCAGCCGGGGCCTAGACCGCTGGATGGTTCTGGAGGCGGCTCGCGCGGTGGAGAGGAGGTAGGAGGTGCAGAGAAGCAGCCGCTAGAGGCCAGGGGTGTCCATGTAAACCGAGGAGGCGCTCGGACTTGGAGCGCACTGCTCGGGACCCCCTTCGTTGCCTCCTTTACCCTCCCCTCCCCCATGCTTGAGGAGCAGGGCCCGGGCCGGTGCGGGAAGGGGGAGGAGGTAAACCCGTCCTGTCACTGCATCGGGAGAGGCTGGAAGAAACACAAGTTCTACTGGGAGAAGCTGCGGTCGTCCCTGACTCGGCTCCTAAAACCAGACACATCCTCCAGCCCCAAAGTCCCGTCCTCAGCGCCTCACCAGGTCGTAGTCCTCCTCATCATCGCACATGAAATCATCCTCCATGTCAGACATCTTGGCCGGGAGCGGGTAGGGGGAGGAGAAACTGGAGACAACCTCCTCCCACAATCCTCCACGGCTCGAGGCGTCACTCCCAGCTTCTCTGCGCCTTCCCGTCGCTCTTAGAGGAGCTGAACGTTTCCTGCCGGAACTAATACGCTCGGCACTGAGAGGGTTCGCTACGACGCCAAAAGGGAGTGCACCACTCCCTCTTCCGGCGAGACTGTTGGTGCCTTAGCAACTGAACCTAGCAACTGGGAATTCGTCAAGTGGCTGCGGATCTCAGCTGAAGGGCTTTGGAAACGCTGCGCTCACATTGAGCAGTTTCCAGCCTCCTGGGCAAGGGAACAGTCTCCTCCCTTGCCTGGGACTCTGGAACCATCTCGTTCTGGTGAAAGTAAGAGGCAATCTAGGATCATACGCCTTTCGCGGAGAAAAAGCTGACATGCCCGTCCTGTATGACAGGTAGTATTTCTGCCATGATTATCTTTGTGCATTTAGCCCACACATTTGCGGTGGGTGTTCTGTGATGTTTGGAGACCTTTTCAGCAACACCGTTTACACGTAATAATATATTTGTAGTCGGCAAAATGATTCAGTGGATATCCTAAATTAGCTGAGCATCAATCAGTTGAAGCGCCTGAAGTCTTATTCAGTTCAATGAATTATAAACTGACCTTTACTGCGCTTGGGACCAAACTAGGGTAACGACTAGGTTTTAAACAGTGCGTTATTTTTGCACAAAATCATTAGCAAAATTTAAAAAAATTGAAATAAAGGGGAAAAACTGCTTTTCAAGCAGCATTTTCCTATAAACTTACAGTTCTGTCCACTTGAATCCACAAATTTCATACAGTTGTAGCATAGATATAATTTTAGAATCTTTTTGCATATAAACAGCATAGGACAATGTATGCAATATATTATTGACTGATTATTTTAATAGTCGTGTATAATCCCTCTGTTGAATGTACCGATGCACTGTAATTTACTTAGGAATGCCATTATTGTTATACATTTAAAATATTGGAAAAACAACACTATTTTAAACAATTCTGCAGCGAATATCCTTGTCACTTTATTCTTAGGGAAAAGTCCAGGAAGAGGTATTGCAGGCTGGATTTTTTTTTTTTTTATTTTTAGTAATCACTTCAATTGTGATCTTCTTGGTCATAGTTCTTGAAAGTCATATTTATAACAATAATACTGCCTACCTATAAAAAAAGTTTTTCTCTAATATTTGCAACCGTTTTATTATGAGAAACTTCAAACATACAGATAAAGTGGAAGAACAGCCCAGTGAACATGTGTATATCCACTATCAGCCTTATTTGTATGTGTATGTATTCCCTGAATCAATTGAAAGTAAGATGCAGATATCATGAGAAATCACTCTTAAATGCAGCTATGTGTATTTCCTAAAAATAAGGACACTCTTTTAAGTCATTACATCATTATTACACTAAGAAAATTAATAATTCCCTGGTATCTCTAATATTCAGTCTATATTGAACATTCTCTTATTAAACATAGAATTTTAGAATTGGGAGAGCCTTTAGTAATGTTACTTTAGAATCCTAGACTTCCCAAGCATAGCAATTCAGTAGACCTCAATTTACCAAATCCCACCCCAGAGATTTTGATTCAGTAGGTTTGTGCTAGACCTCAGGAATCTGTACTTGTAAACCTTAAAATGAATAAAAATATCTCTATAAACTGGTTTAACTATACATCCTAGTTTGTTTGGGACAGCCTGGGTTTAGTACTTGTCCCAGAATAATAGTTATCAGCATCCATCACTTTCAGAAGTTTGGACAATAAATCACATGGTTACTGTGCCTGAAATCCATAATTCTTCAAAAGAGGAAATCTAGAATCCCAGAGTGGTTAATATACTTGCTCAGTTTATTTGCTCAGTAAGCAGAGCTATCTAGTTTTGCTTTTTAGTCAATAGGGCAATTTTGAAATTATTTATTCACCATGTGTGTACTGATCACATGTATAAAGCTGCTTGTTGACTTAATATTGAATTTATTTATATAATTTGCAACTTTTTATGTAATTCCTCACTACTACAATGGGGAAAGAATTATTCAAGTAAGTTAATGACTAGGAACTAGGAAAAGTGCAGCTAAATTTTGAGCATAATATCCTCAGCTGTTCCCAAATTTAATAAACCTCGTCTGGAAATTTGCTAAGAGCAGTTAAAAAAGGTCTTTACAGTCTTTAGCACACTGCTTGGGTACATGAGTGCTAATGAATATTTGTTGAATAAAGAACACATTAATTAGTTAATCTTTTTGTGGTGGGAATGCCCTTCTATCTACATCTAGGCATCAAAATCTTTTCTGTTCTTAAAGTCCACTTAAATGTCACTTCATTCACATAACCTATCTGGAATACTTTGTGCAATTATATAATTCTATTTTTCTTGACATCAATTTTATTCAATGATAAATCATTTTTTAAAAATTGTATTAATAGGGAGCATTGGTGTGCTATGGTGCCCCTGTAGAAAATGGATCCTTTTTTAAAAAGATATTTTTAAAAAAGCTTTGAGGCATAGTTTAGCAGCTTTATTGAGGTCCATAAAGTACACATACTTAAAGCGTACAATTTGATGAATTTTGACATATATGTACACCTGTGAAAGCATCACTACAACTAAGATAATGAACATATTTATTACTCCAGAAGTTTCCTCCTGTCTCTTAGTAATCTATTTCTTCTCCTCCCTTCACTTTTTCCACATAACCACTTATGTACTTTTTGTCACCATAGATTAATTTACATTTTCTGGATTTTTACTTAAATGAATCATACAGTATGTACTATCTTTTGCCTGGCCTCTCTTACTCAGTATAATTATTTTGAGATTTATTTATGTTGTTACAGGTATCAATTGGTTATTGCTTTTGATTGCTGAGTGTTCCATTGTGTGGACATACCACAAGTTATCCATTCACCTATTGAGGGATATCTGAGATTTTTCAGTTTTTGGCTAGTACAAATAAAACTAGTAGAAACACTAGTGTACAAGTTTTTGTGTGGACATATGTTTCATTTCTTTTGAATAATGTGGTAGACAGACTCTGAGTGGTTTCCCTCATTATCCATGCTCTTAAGTAATCCTTTCCCCCTTGAGTGTAGGTAGGATTTGTGATATGCTTTTTTTCCCCCTAGCTTTACTGAGGTATAATTGACAAATACCTGACTTGCTTCTAATTAGTAAGATATTGCAAAAGCGACATACATGATTTTGTGTATATTAAATTACACAAGATTATAAACCCATCATCCTGGGAAAGACTTTATTTCCCTTGCTGGCTTTGTGAAAGCAAGTGGCCATGTTGTGAAGAACCATGTGACAAAGAGTTGTCGGTGGCATCTGGTCAACAGCCAGAAAGAAACTGTCATCTGCAGTCTGACAACTCACAAAGAACTGAATACTGCTAACAGCCAGGTGATCTTGGAAACAAATCCTAGTTGAATCTCAGATAAGACTATGAGATCCTAAAGCAGAGAACAAAACTAATCTGTGCCCTGAATCCAGAGCGATAGACACTGTGAGATAATCAGTGTGTATTGTTGTTTTCTTCTTTTTTCTTTTTTTATTAAGGTATTATTGATACACACTCTTATGAAGGTTTCACATGAAAAAACAATGTGGTTATTAGTCACCCATATTATCACGTGCCCCCCATACCCCGTAACAGTCACTGTCCAACAGTGTAGTGAGATGCCACAGAGTCACTACTTGTCTTCTCTGTGCTACATTGTTTTCCCCATGATCCCCACCCCACAATGTGTGCCAATCATAATACCCCTCAATCCCCTTTTCCCTCTCACCACACCCGCCCTCCACAGTCCCTTCTCTTTGGTAACCATTAGTCCCTTCTTGGAGTCTGTGAGTCTGTTGGTATTTTCTTCCTTCAGTTTTGCTTGGTTGTTATACTCCAAAAATGAGGGAAATCATTTGGTACTTGTCTTTCTTCACTTGGTTTATTTCACTGAGCATAATATCCTCCAGCTCCATCCATGTTGTTATAAGTGGGGGGATTTGTTTCTTTCTTATGGCTGAATAGTATTCCGTTGTGTATATGTACCACATCTTCTTTATCCATTCATCTACTAATTGACACTTATGTTGCTTCCATATCTTGGCTACTGTAAATAGTGCTGCAGTAAACATAGGGGTGCATATGTCTTTTTGAATCTGAGAAATTATATTCTTTGGGTAAATTCCAAGGAGTAGAATTCCTGGGTAAAATGGTATTTCTATTTTTAGTTTTTTGAGGAACCTCCATATTGCTTTCCACAATGGTTGAACTAGCTTACACTCCCACCACAGTGTAGGAGGGTTCCCCTTTCTCCGCATCCTCGCCAGTATTTGTTGTTCTTAGTCTTTTCGATACTGGCTATCCTAACTGGTGTGAGGTGATATCTCATTGTGGTTTTTACTTGCATTTCCTTGATAATTAGTGATGTGGAGCATCTTTTCATGAGTCTGTTGGCCATCTGAATTTCTTCTTTGGAGAATTGTCTCTTCATATCCTCCACCCATTTTTTAATCGAGTTCTTTGCTTTTTGGATGTTGAGGCATGTTATATATTTTGATTGTTAACCACTTGTCAGATATGTCATCTATGAATATATTCTCCCATACTGTAGGATGCCTTTTTGTTCTGTTGATGGTGTCCTTTGCTGTACAGAAGTTTTTTAGTTTGATATAGTCCCATGTGTTCATTTTTGCTTTTGTTTCCCTTGCTCAAGGAGATGTGTTCAGGAAGAAGTTGCTTATGTTTATATTCAGGAATTTTTGCCTATGTTGTCTTCTGAGAGTTTTATGGTTTCATGACTTATATTCAGGTCATTGATCCATTTCCAGTTTACTTTTGTGTATGGGGATAGACAATAATCCAGTTACATTCTCTTACATGTAGCTGTCCAGTTTTGCCAACACCAGTTGTTGAAGAGGCTGTCATTTCCTCATGTATGTCCATGGCTACTTTATGATATATTAACTGACCATATATGCTTCAGTTTATATATGGGCTCTCTAGTCTGTTGCACTCACTGGTCTATGGATCTATTTTGTGTCAGTACCAAATTGTCTTGATTACTGTGGCTTTGTAGTAGAGCTTGAAGTTGGGGAGAGTAATCCCCCCAGCTTTATACTTCCTTCTCAGGATTGCTTTGGCTTTTCAGGGTCTTTTGTGGATCCATATGAATTTTAGAATGGTTTGCTCTAGTCCTTTGAAGAATGCTGTTGGTATTTTATAGGGATTCCACTGAATCTGTAGATTGCTTTAGGCAGGATGGCCATTTTGACAATATTAATTCTTCCAATCCATGAGCACGGGATGTGTTTCCTTTTATTGGTACGTTCTTTAATTTCTCTCCTGAGTGTCTTGTAGTTTTCAGAGTACAAGTCTTTCACTTCCTCTGTTAGGTGTACTCCTAGG